CTTTGAGCAACCACACAGAAGTGCCAAGGCGAGGAGAAGGCTGCAATAGTCTGTATGACTTTTCATCCGGGACAGAACTGATACATTTCTGTTCATATCACACCACACCAAGCCATCTGCAGATCAAGCCCCGGATCAAAGGACAAGAGAAGAAATAAATGTTATCTCCTCCAATGAATGGAAGCTTATGGTCACATGGTAGGGAATATAAAACCACAGTCTAACTACAAGGAAGTCAAAAAACCATGAACAAAACAAAAGCCATACTCTCATCCTGACTTGCTACTCACAACATTTTTCCTAGACTCCTTACTACCCATTTAACTAAGACCCTGGTTTCTAATCAACCCCACCTCTATGCCCCCGTGCACAAACCATCAGAGAGAATGACTCAAACAGAACTAATACACACTTAATTTTAAATGCTCAGCAACCTGCTTGTGTCACTCCATATTGGTTAGGGTGCTTTTGGGTGCAAGTCATAGATGATCCTGTTTAAAATAATGGCATGTAGGAAATGTAGAGCAGTGTTTCAACTTTGGCATATGACATGTTCCATAGCTGTCTTTTTTATTATTATCATTTATTACAATGTATTCACTTTTTATCCTGGCTGTGACCCCCTGCCTCCACTCCTCCTAATCCCACCCTTCCTCCCTGTTCTCACCCTATGCCCCTCGCCTAGTGCACTGATAGGGGAGGTTCTTTCTCCCCTTCTATCTGACCTCATCCTATCAGATCTCATCAGGGCTGGTTATATTATCTTCTCTGTGGCCTGGCAAGGCTGTACCCGCTCTGCCCGAGGGGGAGGTGATCAGAGAGCCTGCCACTGAGTTCATGCCAGAGAAAGTCCCTGCTCCCCTTACTAGGGAACCCACTTGGAGACTGAGTTATGGCCACATCTGAGCTGGGGTTTTAGGTCCTCTCCATGCATGGTCCTTTGTTGGGGTATCATTTTCTTCAGGGCCCCCAAGGCTCAGTATTTTTGGTTCTGTTGGTCTCCTTTTAGAGCTCCTGTCCCCAGCAGGTCTTTCTATCTCCCACTTCTTTCATAAAATTCCATGCATTCTGCCCAAAGTTTGTCTGTAAGTCTCAGTCTCTGCTTCGATACCTTGATCAGTAGAGTCTTTCAGAGGCTGTCTGTGGTAGGCTCCTGTCCTGTTCCCTGTCTTCTCCTGCTTCCGGTGTCTATAGTGTTTGCCCTTCTGAATGAAAATTGAGCATCTTCCCTCGGGCCTTCCTCAACCATATTCGTAGCAGCTCTATTCATAATAGCAAGAATCTGGAAACAACCTAGATGTCCCTCAATGGAAGAATGGAATACTACTCAGCTATTAAAAACAAGGATATCATGAAATTTGCAGGCAAATGGTAGAAGCTAGAAAAGATCATCTTGAGTGAGGTAACCCAGAAACAGAAAGATACACATGGTATATACTCATGAATACGTGGTTGTTAGCCATTAATTTCTTGTTATTTGTTTTTTATATTAAATAGAATAAGATTTTAATTAAATTTTTATTTTTATATTAATTCTAATTTATTAACTTTGTGTTCTAGATGTAGCCCCTTCCCTCTTTCCCTCCCAATCCCACCCTTCTTCCTTCATCTCCTCCCATGCCCCTCTCCAAGTCCACTGATAGAGGAGGTCCTCCTCCCTTTCCATCTGACCCTAGCTTATCAGGTCTCATCAGGACTGGCCTGGAAAGGCTGCTCTCCACTCAGGGGGAGGTGATCAAAGATCCACATTGTTTTCTTTTAAAAAAAAGTTAGCCTTTGTTCTCAAGCTTGTCCCATTGTCACAAGAACGCTACAGCTGACCCAAGCCCTGTCACAAGGTGATGTTCCAGGTGAGAACAAGGAAAAGAAAGTATCTCCCTCTTTACAATCTTTTTTTTTTTATAAGGGAAGAAATCCCCAAGTCACCTTTCTATGTTGTTTGTCCAGACTGTCCCATTCAGGGATTTAGATCAGTCTAGGGTTATGTCTTATGAATTCTATGACGTTTCTTTTGATTGATTTTGTGTGCATACGAATTCCTTGTGTGTGGAGGGATGTCTGCATACTACTTTTGCTGTATAGAGGTCATAGGAAATTCTTCAGTAGCTGTTTTCTACTTCCACCATGTAAATGAGAGGAATTTCACATCGGTGGGTTGGCAGCAAGTACTGTTACCCGTTGAGCCATTTGACCAGCCTAAACGAGTTCTGAGAACAAGGAAGGAACTTATAAAGGAAGGACTTAGTTACAGGAGACCATGAGTGTCTGGCAAATGCTAAGCCTAGTTGAGAAAATATAGGATACTTTATAATACAATCCTCGTCTTCTTTTGAAGTGTAATTCATCAAGATTTCCATAAACTATGACATTTTTTTCCTAAATGAGATACCGTGGTCATACTGTGATTCTACCAAGTGTTGGCACAGTGTGCCCTCCATTTCTCCAAATGCGCCTTGTATCCCTCTCTTAGCTTTCTACCCAAGTCCTACTTATATCTGAGGACTTGGCTTCTCTCTGAGAAGTTGTTCATTGGTAAGGCTGGTCTGCCCCATATTCTCCTACAATGCACCTTTGCTACCCTAGTAGACATAGCATATTTCATGTTAGTATGTTCTTCCCCTTTCCATTGGTGTCAGTATCCTACATAAGACACATTCAGAACAGCGTGTGGTGTCATAATACTTATATGGGAGATTCTGGGGTTACAGGGCTACAGAATACACACTCATGATTGTCTTTCACAGATAACTGAGTGTTTTAAAGAGGAAATTTAAGAGACGGAAGCAAAATCTCCAGGCACACCCCAGTCACTTTTCTATGTTGCTTGTCCGGACCGTCCCATTTCCTTATTTTTCTCTTACATCCACAGGAAAAAGTACACAAAACAAGGCTCTATAGAAATTTAATACTCACTTCATGACAGCATCTACTTTCCTTGAATGACTTCCATCCAAAGGAATTCTGTCTCTGTCTCTCTGTCTCTGTATCTCTCTGTGTGTCTCTCTGTCTCTGTCTGTCTCGCTACAAGGCATGGAAAGACATACACCTATACTGGCAGGCATCGTTATTAGCATTCAGCACTGTTCATGACACCTGTTGTATCAACTCTACAGTTGATACAGTGTTTTACAACTTAAAATGCCTGCTTCATGTTGTGTAGATAGAAGAGTCAATCAACATGTGTACAAGAAACGTAAATTATGCAAGCTGCTAATAGGTTTGCATGTTGCAGTAAAGTTTCCTGGCTATGACCTCTAGCCAACTTAAAATATTTGATCTCAAGTCCTAGGCAATTTTTCTTAGGTAATATTTATGTCACTCTGTGTTATAGAAATGATCACTATTTGGAACAAATCTCTGCTACTTCATCAAGTGTTCAAAGGAGATACAATTGTTTGCTATTTCTTTATACTGGGTTTTGAGTTTATCTTCTTCCTGTCTCTTGCATAAACATACATATTTCCACACTGGATTGTGCTATTAATAGTGCATTAGCCTAACTTGATTCCCTCCATGTTGTTTTTGCCAGCACACCCCAATACATTTTCCTAAGTAATAGATGATAATCCAACTTCCTTGAGATCTGTTTCTTCATCTCAAAATAATTTGTCACATAGCATTGTGTTATGCACTATTATATATTTTCTTCCTATTTCTGTATATGCAAATTTCTTCTACAATACATCCACTGACAATTCAAAACACTTTTAGTTAACTTCCATTATGCGCTAAACATTTTATGGGTCTTGGAGCTCCATAGTAATTGTATGATTCTGACACTTCTGGATTTGAAGTCTAAGCAAGTTCAACAAACTACACAGTCAACATAGGTCTAACGTCATATGGAGAGAAGTCCAGCCCAAATAAAGCAGAGATATTGGTGTAGAAAATGGAGTTGAGCGGCACCAATCTTTGAGAGGTGGCTGGAAAGGACTATAATAAGAAATATCTGTTAATGAAGTCATCCTTTGATGGAATCAGAGCCCTCATGATCCAATCACCTCTCAATATCACCCCCAGCTGGGAATGGCACTTTCAGAAGACAGTTTAAATCCAAGACACAATTCCATTAATCATAAATGCAAAAATGCTGCTCAAGGAAGCACCTCTCTTATTCTAAATGAAAGGGAAGGGCTGGGGTCTCAGAGCCCACTCTGAGCAGCATAGTTGAGAGAGTCCCTCTGAAACAAAAGAATCTTAACAAAATGAGTCTGAGGACTATTATCTTTTCCACCCTCTTACAGAAACTCACATATGCATGGCTCTAACAGATAAAAACACTTTAAATCACTTTAATACATGTCCTAACCTCTGTTTAACTTTGTTTAATTTGATGTTGCTGAGCTGCTTTGACCACTGGCCCTGTTTTTCTGCAGCATCTGTTGGACAACCTGAGGAACAGCTCTTCGGGAAGTCTTTTTCATAGAGATGCCAAGCTAACATAGGAAAGTTCTGAGCTGAGACTTGTCAGAAAGGCAATGCTCGAATGTGACAAAAGGGTGGGCATCCAAGGCAGGAGAAACTCCAAGCTATTTACTTTATAAGACTTACCTTGCTGTTTTCTATCTGCCTTATCAAATACCTCTACAGAAGGAATGCCTTCAATACACTAACCAAACTATATTCTTGGTAACTGCTAATAAACTCATAAAACATGAAGCATTCCAAACACAGGAAGCCGAGTTGCTTCATGGGAACTACCTCAGTTCCTTTTGCATTATTTCATAGACAACAGAGTTCAGTCTCTTAGAAACTGTAACTCACTTTTTACCAGTGCCTAATCAATGGCCATGTTAGTTTTCTTACCCTGAGATCAGGATTCTATTCCATAAAGAAGGGATGCACAGACTTTATACATCTGCCATAGACAATTTGAAATTAAAGCAAAAATCAATTCCTATGCAAGATGAAGATCTCAATATTGGCTATGGAAGCAGAATCAAATTAAAGAACAACGCAGGCTTGGATTTTAATGAAGCTCATCTTTGTTTCGTTTGCAGATCAAATTTTTGGCTCTCATCTGCACACAGTGTGTGAACGAGAACATTCCACAGTTCCATGGTTTGTAAAGCAATGCATTGAAGCTGTTGAAAAAAGAGGTGGGTAACTAAATATGCAGCATTGCTGAGTCCTTTGAACAGCTAGGGCTCAAGTTCACAGTGCCACCCGAATCCTCTGGGAAGTCATGCAATTAAAACTTGACTTTTGTTAATCGGTTAAGAGGATCTAGTTTCTTATTAACTTCAGTTTGTTTTTACAATAGGGACATTAACAATTCTCACTAATGTTCTGTGTTTTTCTTTTAATATTTTGTCTGTCTGACATACTGTTGAATCAATTGCAAACTTCTTGTTTCCAAGCCAGTGATAAAACATTCATAAAATATCAGCACTCGCGGTGTTAGAACCCTCTAACATTCTTGCTGGTAGATATGCCAGAACAATTTTGGTAAAGCCCCAGCATTACCCAAGTGAAGTAAACAGTGTTTCTACTCACAGACAGTGATACGCCATTTTCCACATGGTTCTGTTCTGTAGAGATTACAGCTAGCAGGGTTTCCTGGAACAATTAACAGATACACCTCCAGTGTTAAGATGACCTTTGACTCCTCTGTTTCAAAATTATGTTTTTCATCTGAAATTATTTCATCTCGCTGAATAGAACAGAACAAACCCCAGTTGACTCATCATTTCTATGCTAGTTTATCTGTGGAGTGTTTTTCCTTCGAACTATGACTTCATTCATTCAAGGTCATTTTTCCTGGAAGATACACACTGTAAATGCAGAACCTTAAAAAAATGTATTAAATAAAAATGTGAAGCTTCATCACCATCTGTTACAAGTTTACAACGTGTTTCCAGGATCTAGGGGGATATATATCAAGTGAAAGATAGAGGTGTTTGCAGAGAAAAAGGAATGGCTGAACCTATTCTCATTTTCAACACCTATTCTCTTAAAACAATACAACCAAAGGGAAAAAAATTCAAGCATTCTGCTGAGAAAAGGCCATTTTAATTCTCTCAGTGTTACCTGGCTTTATTATAGAAGCATAATAAAAACGGCATGCAATTTCTAACTCCTAAAAATTCATACTTTAATTATACTGTAAGGACAGCCTTGGGATCCTATTATTCCCATATCAGTAGGGAATGAGAGAATAACAAGAGGGGAACGGGTGGGTAGGGACACAGATAAAGACACTGGCTGTGGGAAAAGCACATTGACAAAGAGGAAAAGAGCAGAGGGGCCAGAGAGCAGGAAGCCGTCACACCAAGAGAAGTGCCTGCGCGAAATGAAGCTGACTGGAATTTAGAGAGAAATGTATTTCTAGTGCGTGTTGCAGTTTCATTTAATTTATAGGTACCTATCTTTGGAGTAAATATTGTTTAATAAATACGTAAAGCCAAAATGGATCACTGAGAATATTGTTATTGCTTCCAATAGTTAAACTATCATCATTTCCAAGAAATCTTCATTCACTTTTAAATACTGAGTACCAACTGTATGAACATTATTATATTAGACCAAAAATCCAAATAGGCCATTGGGGGAAGCCATACATAGTAAGATGTATGTACACAGGAAGAAGAGCTTATATCTCCTGATTTGTGAGCCTACCTAAGGCAAAATGAAAATCCCTGCTAAATGTAGCTGTGCAGTACGCAGATACCTTCATATCATAGAATAGAAAGTACCTATAAATAGGAATTGTATCTGAGCCTGGCATTTTTATGGTGATTTTTAATAAAGTAAGACGATGTTTCTGCTGACAGGAGCAATCATGACAGCATTATATTTTATCGTTCCCAATGTTTACTCTCAAAATGAATTTGTAGATCCAGCACTAAGCAGCCGCTAATCGCACATATGATTATTAAAATAATTCCTGAGCATTCCAATGAAACTCAGAGACATTTTGTAATTCTGCAAAGCAACTGACAATTCAAAGCACTTTGGCAGTGTTAGCTTAAAGGAACTCCGTGGAAATGTTCAATAAAAACTCAGAGGCACAAGATAAACATCTCACATCATTGCAAGATTTATAAGTGTGCACTTTTGATTCTATTTCTCTATGATCATTTTGTTGGACTAATATTCTTACATTTATACGCCAATTCTATTTACTCAAAGTGTTGTTTTTACTAAATTTTGGCATAGTGTATCTCAGGACAGAAATAATTTATGTGAATGTAAGTCCAATATTTTCGCAGGCTTCTGATGACATTTGATGCAGGGTTGGTACTAGGAAGTAGCGGAGGAAAGTGCCAAGTCTCTCGGCATGGCTGGGACTCGGCTTGTCTGGAGTGCTCCTTCTAATGGCCAGATGCTCCTCCAGCCAAGAAACCCAACTGCACAGTCATGGGAAATGCATACTGCCTTGCTATGGGAAAGGGCCATTTATTGAAGGCTGTGTTCACTCTTTCAGTCTTGGGGCAATGGCCTCTGTGCTCATGACATGGGCACATTGGCTGCTATAAAAGGAATTTGACTCCTTCCTCATTGTTCCTTTCTGATTCTTTTTTAAAGACATCTCTAAAACCCAAGCTATATTTTTATTAAAAAATACTTATTATATATTTGATATAAAATGAGGCATGATAGCTGAGGGCAGACAGCCTCGGCATTGCTTCAGCCATCTTCTCAGCTGCTTGAATCTGACAGAACCGTGCTTAGGCGTCTGAGGTCTCCCAGGAATTTCTACCCAGTAACTAGCCTGAGGTGCGTGCTTCACTCATGTTCGGTTAAGCGTCATTAGTTACATTAACGCTTTGGGCATCTTTGTCCATAACTTAGAAAAAAAAATGGTTAGGTAAGCCCTGTAAACCAGTGGGCAAATGACTTATTTTGTGCTTTCCTTCATCTCACTTTGAGTCTTTATACTCTTGACCACCAGGCCATGTTCTCCTTTTCAGCCATTTGGGAGTGAGTTCTGCCATTTTTGACATTGTCTATGTAACCCTAAATATACTTTTGTACAAAGAATCATATTGATAAGTGCTTCGAGAGGAAAGAGCAGGTATATCGAAACAGAAAACCATTGCAAATGTTGAGAAACGAACAAAGATGTGTGCTTTAGGCTGAGATATCAAACCCTGAATCAGAAACAGAGGCTTATCTGCTTTCATCTCCTCACACGACCAGGAGGAGATTAATTTGGTTTATTCACAAATCTATTATCTTAACCCACTATGTGGCTGTAGTAGGAGAAGAAACCAGCCATATATGATACCTGGAAAGAAACGTTTTAAATGGAAAACCAAACATGGACCTTGCCAGAGACTTCTTTTATACAGAGATAGAGTTTGCTAAATTAAAGAGCATAATGCCACTCTACATATGTTTTTATATATCAAGTAAAATTTTTGAATTTACGGGAATACAACTGAATTTTTAAAACTATAGAAATGAGGTTGGCATTCACCATTCATAATAAGCTGTGATAGCTTATTGCTCCTTTAAGATTTCTAGTTCTGGGATTGTGCCACATCAGCTTAGCACGTTAAGAGGGTACCAAGAGATCTGTAACACAGCAATCTCTGAATGTACTTGACACTACTAAAATATGAAATAATTGCAATAATTATTTTACATTCTATGCTTTTTACCACAGTCTGAAAAAAATGATTCAGTGTATGTGTCTGTGTGCTCGTGAGAGCACATGCCACAGCAGGAGTGTGGAAATGAGAAGCCAACTTGCCAGAGTTGGGCCTCTCCTTCTATCTGTGGTTCCCAGGGATCTAACGCAAGTGGCCAGGCTTGGAGACACACGCCCTTACCACCGTGAGCCATCTCACCAGCCCTACCACAGTGTGTGTGTGTGTGTGTGTGTGTGTGTGTGTGTGTGTGTGTGTGTGTCGAAGTGTGTATGTGATCCCGTGTCTTCCACATTAGATGATTTGAGATACAAGCTGGCTTTCAGATTGTCTCAGCAATTGCTAATCAACAAAAAGGTCACCCCTTTCTGTATTTTTTCCCTCTAACACACACATACAAATGCTATGACAGGAATGAAGCCCAAGTTACATACTTGACTTAATGCCCAGAAGATACCCTGGGATCCATAACATCGCTTAAAGATTTAAGAAAGACCTCTAGTCCACTTCTGAGAAGGTCTTTAGCCTCAAAAACTTTATCTCTCAACTTGACTTCATGGCAGCTGTTATATTTTTTTGCTGTCGTTTGTTTGACAGGATCCAGTTATAGGTTCCGATGTCTGTTTAAAGAAACAAGGAGGCTGTTGGCTCTAAAATCCCCTCATTGCTTGTGTGATCAGCATTTTCCCAGGCTTTTCTACATAGTTTGCCAAGCAAAGGGACTGACCTTTTGTAGCAAACACTTTTTCATTTCAAAATGCTCACTTTGATTTTTGTCCCATTTTATACTCATTCCAAACTGTTTACAACCCACTAAAAATGACTGTGAATTATATGTTTGTATAATGGATTCCTTTTGTGGTCTGAGTGGAATGTTTACTTTGAACAATTAGTTATCTTAGGGTAGATTGTAACTAGTTGAAAAAAAGGATGGATGAAAATTATTATTATACCTTAACCGTTTTTTAATTCCTCGTGATTATGTGAAATTTGAGAAACTGTCACCTTAACTTGAAGTTTTATATGGTCATCGTTAGAAACAGGAATGCGCTGCTATGATTTAGAAAACTTCACAGTGTGCAATAGAAACAAATACATGACTATTGGCTCTAAACATTGCTGTGCATATTAAGAGGGTATATATGAACAAGGAATTACTGGGTAAGTCACAGCGATGATGATCAGCTAGGTATTCTGCTGAGCTATATGAAGCTTGTCCTTGTTAATATTCTGTTACTTCATTCAGCGAACCCTTTGGTCCATCGAGAGCCTATGGAGTACTTTAGTATAAAAATAAAACTTCACATCGCTATTTCCCATTGCTTGCAATCCAGGCCCCTAAAGTGCAGATTGTATTGCCATAACTAGGCAGCTCTGCTCCCAGCCCCGCTAACTTTATACTGTTCATTCTTTCCCACTTTGGAATAATCTGTGATAGCTGGGTCCAGGCACGCACTAAAGGCTGATCCGTCGATGAAGAATGTGCAATTTGTACTGTTTAGTTT